GGGAGGGGAAGGATGGGATAACATAAAGAACCAATAATATAAATTAATAGATGTACAAAAGGAAGTCTGGTAGAGTATCGGAAGGAGAATGGGAGAGGAGAGGGAGGATGGGAAGGAAAAAGGGGTGAGCATGAACCGAAATTTATTTCCATGCATGTATGAATTTGTTAGGATGAACAACTACTATGTATAACTATAAGCTCTAATAAATAAATTTAAAAATATTCAAGCCTTGATATAGAAGTTACCCCCACACACATACCCCTCCAGAAAGGTGATTCTGATAAATGTTAAGCAAAAAGTAATCAGATAAGATTTCAATAAGGGCTTCAAGTTCACATGCTCCTTGCTCCTGGGCAAATTGGCTTTCAGAAATACCTAGAAACAAAACTCAAGAGAAATTTTGGTCTGAGACTAGTTGCTCTTGGTTAGAGGCACTTCCTAAATGACCAGTATAAAAAAATTCTGTCCCTGCTATTCAAAATAATTTTAAGTTGATTTTTATTTATTAGCTTTTCTTTTCTCTATTCAGTTTACCCTCTGTGTTAGAAGTCAAATGGCCCTGCAAGAAGAAAAATCTCCATAAAAAAGTTTACCAGTCAAGATAGAACATGACTATAAAAATCAGTATAGCCAGGCGCGGTGGTGCACACTTGTAATCCCAGCAGCTCAAGAGGCTGAGTCAGGAGAATCACGAATTCAAAGTCAGTCTCAGAAACTTAGCGAGGCCACTAGGCAACTCAGTGAGACCCTGTCTCTAAATAAAATAAAAAATGTGGCTCGGTGGTTGAGTGCCCTGAGTTCAACTCGAGTATCAAAAAAAAAAAAAAAAAAAAATCAGTATCATCACACATATACTAGGAAAACCCACAATAAGACAAATCAGGAGGCGAAGATTTTGTTTATCTATTTGTTCAGCACATTTTCAAATGTGAGAGGATTCAGGAAGAGAGAAAAGAAACTCCCATCTTAAAGTCAGGGCAAAAATCAACAGCCTGAGGAAGTTTCCAACATGGTCTAGGATTTCATCACAGGACTCCCTCAACCCAGCCTCAACAGTCGTCATGCCTTGTTCCCCTGGGCAGCACAGTCAGTTCCAGAAGCTAAAGGATTTCTCAGAAGGTCACAGTTGTGGACACATTGCTCAAAGCAAACAGTAGAATGTAGAAATGAGAGAAAAAGCAGATAGATGTATCAGGACTATCCTACCAGGAGTCACAGCTGCCCAGCTGGGAAGAAGAAAAAAATAACTGCTTAAGTACAAGACCTGGGATGTCACTTCCTCCCTATACCACATCAACCAGAATCCCATTTTCTTACTCAGAGGGTCATGGAAATGTAACAGAACAAGTCAGAGGTGTGAAAAACCAAGCATTCCTACCGTCCAACCCGCATCTTGGAATTCCCCAGGGACAGGCACTCAGTGTGATGTCAAGTCTTGTAGGGTTCATCATTTCCAGTTCTATAATGACCCTTCCACAGGTTTAACCAAAATCTCAGGAGCCCAGGTACCCTCCACGCTGAAGCCAAACAAGCCATTTGGTAGATGTTTTAAAACTGAAGCCTGCCAGAGAAAAACAGAATGAACTCTATTTCATACCTGGGGATGCATCTGAGTTCCAAAAGAAAGCTAAGTTCAAGCTGAAAACAGACCCAGACCCCACCTAAGCTAGCTCAGAGGCTAGAGTGTCACTTTATTTGGACAGCCACAGACATTCTGGCAGTGGACATGTTTGGGGGCTCCTCCAAAAGCTAATGATCAGAAAAACTAAGGAGAAAAATGGGAGGGAGGGGTCAGGAAGAGAGTGTCTAAGATTCTTAAGAGACTTAAGAAACAGGCCAACCAATGACAATGTATGAACCTCATTGTACCTTGATTCAAATAAATTACTAAAAAATACTAGGGTCACAGTAGGGGAAAATTAAACACTGGATATTTGATATTAAAGAACTAATATTTTTATGTGTAGTAATGGATGGCATTGGTTATAGAATTCTTTCCCTGATTCTACTTCATTTAATAGTATGAAATATTGATGAATGAAATGATGCCTGGGAATTGCTTTGCAATAATCCAGTGGGGATGAAGCTATTGAGGGGAAAAGATGGCCATGAATAGAGACTTCTTGAAGCTGGGTGATAAGCGCATGGAGTTCATATGTTGGTATCTCTACTGCTATACATACTTTAGTTTACATGATAACAATTAAAATAAAGCAAGTGTCTTGGGAGGGGTGGGATAGTCAGGTACTTGTACCTTACCTTGAACTTGTCTACTGAGATTCCCTCTCCTCCTCATCCTCACCAAAGGAACTTTGTCCATCAAGGTGAGTCCATGTGTTCTGTGTTGATGGAAAGCCTTTAAAACATTTGGTGTCAAGCAAGGAACTTGACCAATCAATATATGAGAAAACAGAAACAGCAACTGGGGCTCCGACGAGCAGCTCACCTTTCTGACACTTGGAGCTGCAGTTGTAGGAATGTTTTACCAGTAGGCACTCTGGGTTTACTAGCTTTTCTTTTTTCTATTCAGTTTACCCTCTGTTAGAAGTCAGTTATGAGCTGCATTACCCAACAGTTTACAAGGTCCTATAAGGAGCAGCAGGCCACTCTAATGTCCAGCACCCAGACACACTGATAACCAGTGAGGGGAGGGGCCGCTGCTCAGGGAGAGAGGGATGTAGATAACACCACCAGCAAGAAAGGAATGAGGTCACTGCAGAAAGAAGGCAGCAAAGCCCTTTCTACCTAACAGCAGGTTTTTCCCTAGGCAAACTCTCCTCCACTCCCGGTCTGTCTCTTGACTCAGCTTGATTCTTCCCACACAGGAAGCAATGCCAGTTCCCACAAGGCTACAGTCCTGAACATAGGACTAGGACAACACAGGGACATGAGGGCCATTCAGATTCCTGACTCAGCCCCAGACCTCCCCTTCTCCTCCCCAAAAGATTGAAGTTAGTAACACCCCATGCAAACACCGAAGAGACACTGTCAGAACCTAGGGTCATTTGGTGCTACCCTTGAGATGTACGTTCTAATAGCTTAATGGAAAAGAGAAGCCCTGATGATGGGCACTATAGCTAAGACAATTAAAATAATCAAATTAGTATATGTGACGTTTATACTGGTGGTTGAAAAAGAAACTTTCACAAGACAAAGTTATAACACTTTAATAATTTAAATAGAACCAACTTCAGGGATGCACATACATAAAATTCAAACAATGTAATTGAACAGTATATTTAAACGCATCAAATTCTTAAAAATCCCCCCCCAATAGAGTCAGTATCACGAATATGAAAAAGTAATTTTGAAGTACTACAGACCAGAGTAAAACAGACAAGATCATTATTTTGCATTTACCAATGAGACAAAAACCTGTGGATACATCACACTTTCTAAGAACACTTCTAGGGAATGTCAGGACAAAGTCATTCCAAAGGAATACAAATGATCTCCAAAAAATGATTGTTTATTTATTTATTTGCAGGGCTGGGGATTGAACCCAGGGCCTTGCACATGGTAGACAAGTGCTCTACCGCTGAGCCCTGCAAAGAGGAATTTATAGCTAACAAATTCTTTGGTCCTCCAAGTCACACTTGTTTTTACTTTAAAATACCAAACATGAGTTGGAATTCTACCTAGAAATGTCTAAATATTAAGCAGGTTAATGTTTATTCCAAATTAGATTTAACATGGAACTCAAAAATCAACCACCATTGGACTTTAGAAACTCCAAATACAGGGGAAAGTAGTAGAGATTTTTTAAAAAGGAGAGAAACCTCGACCATCTTGCTTCATTGTAAGCTAAATGGCAAGTAAGTGGCAGAGATAGAATGACCACAGTTTAAGCAAGCAACGTAATTCATTTTTTAAAAATGAATGAATAAATTTGAAGAGCACTATGCTGATGGAATAAAACGTCTTTGTAGAATTAACTGTGTCTGTTTTTGTGGGAGAGTTAGGTGTTTTTGTTTTAATTTGGCCCACACTGCCCCAGTGGAACAAAATTTAAGATAAATGGTAATAAGGCAACAGCTTCTGGACTGAAAGGCCTACACCACCTGAACAGAGTCACACTGAGGACAAGACCCAAGACCCACACTGACCACAAGGAAAACAAGACTAGAGTTCTCAGTGCATTTTCACAAAACACGACAGCACAGCTCTGTGAGGACAGGGGCACAGCTCCCAAGGCAGGCCACAGTCAATTCATCTGCATTCTTTTGGGCTCTTGGAAGCAAGAGTTCTTCAGATCTGACAATGATGAGCACTCCCAAAAGTTTCTAGAAATCCTTAGAAAAAATATTTCATAAGATCAAAATAAAAATGTCCAAGAAACTTCTAAAGAGACAGCTGTGGGACTAGTTATCTGCCGTGTGAGTACTAAGACTTATAAAATAATGGCTTTTAAAAAAAAGGCAAAAGTATCTACAGGCTAACTGGTGTGATATTCTCATCAAGGCACAGAGAGTTAAATGTCTAAATCCCTGTATGTTGACGTGAGAATAACTCGTAAACAACTCCAGGAACTAATTCCCTGTACTTGAATTAAGAAAGAAGGTAGAAATGTGCCTTTTTAACTCACAGTAAAATTGAAAAAAATAGATATTCCACCACCTTCCCTTGGTGACTAATGTTAAAAATGGATAGCTGATAAATAAAAACGAAATGTCATTTGTGAATTCATAAACATGACCGAAGCAGAGCTGCTGGACTTCGAATTCACAGAGCAAGGCTGCACACTGTTCGTGAATTATTAGAGCATTTTCAGCATTATACCATTTCTGTGGCAGAGGAAAAGGAACTGCTTTTCCCATGCCCGATTCTCCTATGCTGATGAGACAGATCACCGTAGGATTTCATTCACATACACAGATTCTCCTCCTCCCCAGCACCCTTGGGTTATCTGAATGGCAGTGGTTTGTGCATGTAACTTAGGCTGCTGGCAGTTCACCTTAGACACTGCCCCTACAAGGTGGCAAGAAGAAAGTGCAGGGTTTACCCCTATGTGAATCATTTTTAATTTGACTTTATAAATAATTTCAAATACAATTATTGACAAGGCATAAAGTTAACATCTGTAACAAATGAAAAGGGGAGGCATGATGAAAGACAACACCATTAGCAGTCGGACCTGCCCCACGCCATGCTCCAGTTCAGCTCCGAATGAGAGTGAGAAACTCCTCCCGCGTCTTGGGATCTTCCCGGAACACACCCAGCATTGTACTGGTCACAGTTTTGCTGTTCATTTTCTGCACCCCTCGCATTACCATACACATGTGTCTACAAAACAAGACAATGAAGGTGGTTTTCAGGAGCTGACAGTGCTGATTTGACTTTTTAAAATAAAAAGCAAGGAAGAAGATGCATCTCAGCTCAGTTACCAAGTATGTTAAAATATCCCTTCTGAGACAAATGATATCCAAACTTTTTTTTTTAAGTTTTTAAAGTTTTTAGCTTTTATTCTTATCTGTGGTTAAATCCTTGATGCACTCAACAAGAGCAGAGAAAATGGAATTTTCATTATGAGTGAAAATAATATATTTGGTCTTCAGAGACCAAAGCAGTGCTGAGCTAGCTTAGGTGTTTAGAGAAATACCCAAGTATGTGCATCTCACCAGGCAGAACTCAGGTAACAGAGACCAGTGGGTCTGAACAAGCTGCTGGAGCCATGTGACATACACTGAGCAGAGGTCAGAGCAGGCCATCAAGTGAATGAAACTGCCCATACTGAATGTGCAATTCTCATAATTCACTGTAACTTAAAGAAGTGTCTACATCTGGAGATCATTATGTGATGTGAAATAAGCCAGGCACAGAAAGACAAGTGCTGCACGCTTTCACTCATGTGAAAAGCAAAAAAAAAAAAAAAACCTGATCTCACAGAAGTTGGGTGTAGAATGGCAGTTACTCCAGGCTGGGAAGGAAAGCAGGAGGGAGGATGGAGAGGGGTTCCTCAGTGGACATGAAGCTACAGTTAAACAGTAGCAAGAAGTCCACAGTCCTGTCTGGGCACCACGGTACGGTAGGGTGACTATAGATAAAAATAATGAATTACAGATCGTAAAAAACTAGAGAAAAAGAAAAGCTTGATGGTTTTTACCATACATAAGTGATAAATATTAGGATACATAGATATGTTTAACCTGATTTAAATATTATACCATGTATACATGTATCAAAATATCATATGGGGGCTGGGGTTGGGGCTCAGTGGTAGCACACTTGCCTGGCATGTGTAAGGCACTAGGTTTGATTCTCAGTACCGAATATAAATAAATAAAGGTTATCAACAACTAAAAAAAAAAAAGTCATGATACCCCACAGATATGTACTTTTTTTTTTTTTTTTTGGTATCGGGGATTGAACTCAGGGGCACTTAACCACTGAGCCCCAGCCCGATATGTACTATTTTTATGTTTTTAATGTATCACTTAAAAAATAAAAACTTAAACTAAAAAAAATTAGACATTTTTTTTTCTCTTTAAAAAGAATTATCTTCAGTTGTCCTTTACACTGATTCTTAGTTTTTTCTGTCTTTCGATGTGTGACAAAATGTTAGAAAAACTGCTTGGACCAACAAAAAAGCTAAGAAAAAAGAGAAGCATAGAATAAATCTGCAACTATGCTTATAACTCCCTGCACTTCCACAACCCTCAATCCCACCCTACCCCATCCCACCCCACCCCACCCCTCCAAAAAAAACCTCTCCCATACCCTGGTTTCTATATCAGCAACACAGTGAACAAAAGAGGATGAAGGGTTAGGCCCGGAGATTAAAAAACCAGCAGTGGCCACTGTGTGACATCACTTGGTGCTAGGAAAACCAAGCAACACTAAATGTCAAGATCAATTTTTACATAGACTGTGACGTTATCAAAGGCAGCTTCAGACTTACGTTGCTTCAACCACTACCCCAACTCCTGCAGGCTGCAAGGCTTCCGTGATTGCCACTGCAATTTGTTTTGTAAGACGTTCTTGGACTGTGAAGGTGACAAAGAGCTCAGTTTAAGAGTCAAACACAGGTTGCAGAATCACATATGTCAAGATCATTGTATTGTCATGAGCAACTAATAAAAAAAAAGGAAATGACCATAAAAAAAAAAAAGAGTCAAACACAAACAGCTAGATTTTTTTTCTCTAAAATTATTCGACATCTTAAAAAGCAGACTTCTGTGACATTTAAGAGCCATGACAACAGCTTTTGCCTGTTTGCTTTGTCTACTGAGTGAGCCACAAGGAGGCCCTCCCCTCACCTGCACTGCAGGTGCTGAAGAGAACCCCAGAAGCTCTCCAGCATCTCTGCAGGGGAGCGATTAGAATGGCAAACTAGCTCCTAACATGTGCAGTAAGACCAACAGAATATTGGTTAATGAGCAACTCCAGAGGTAGAGTGCAGCAAATAAACAGCTTGCAACACTAATAACAAAGGAGCTAATTACTGAATTGTTGAAAACCAAGCGATTTAACCTAAATACTATGCTGTCTGAAACAACTTGTCTTTGAATACATACAAAAGTGTTCACTGAAGCACTGCATTTATTGGAAAACTGACAAAAATCCCCCAAATATGTATCAGAGCGGGGATTGGCTAAATCAAGCCATGAACACAACAGAATTCTAAGCAGCCACCAAAATGAATGAGGAATGTATGTGGAAATGAATATTTATGTGGAAAAACTGTTTAAGGTTCCTTAAGTGGGCGGGGGGGAGGGGAAGAAAACAAGGCCAATTATCCACTTTAGCTTAAATGTGATACAAATAAACTGATTTGAAAACAACAGCATATGCATGGAAATGTGAAGAGTTGTGCAAACACAATGCTGATTTCTGTCTTGAAACAAACTTTGACTTTTATCTTCCTATGAGGTTTTAATTTTTGTTATATTCATTACACTTTGAATACAATAAAGATACTTTTTTGCAAGAAAAAATGCTTTCTGTAAAAAAAAAAAAAGACATATAAAAAAGTTTACCTTGCAGTCTTCTACTATAGATTTCTACAATCCTAGAAAAGAAGAAAGTGTTTTAGTTAATCATACCTTGCTTGAAGTGAAACTGCTAAGTCCACCTCACAAGACTAAAAAGACTTTGTTGAAGCAATAGTTGGATGTGGGCAGGGGATAATGCTTATTCCCATAAAACAAGTTCTACAAGGAGATGCAGTCTCACGGAGACCATAATCATACTACACAAAGTGGGGCTTCCTTATGTCTCTAAAGGGGGGCGGGAGGGACTAATGTATCTCCAAGTACAATGTTTACTTAGAAAAAAAAACACAATTAAAGATGAGCTATAAAATTTTAAAACTCCCAAGTCACCAATTTTAGGCTGTCTCAAATGTTCCAATTAATCATATTGTTTTATCAGAGCTTAAAGATCAAGTTAAAAATAAAAGACTATTTGTTAATTGATATCAGGCCAATTAGCTGGTCACTGGGGTGCACGCCTATAATCCCAGTGACTCAGGAGGCAGGAGGATTGCAAGTTCAGGACCAACCTTAGCAACCCAGCAAGGCCCTAAGCAGCTTAGTGAGTTCCTGTCTCAAACTGGTGGGGAAAAAAAAAGGGGAGGGGGTGGCAGGCTGGGATGTGGCTCAGTGTGGCTCAATGGTTAAGTGGTTCAAGTCCCAGTATTAAAAAAAAAATCAGGTTAACTATTACACCAACTAAATCTGTTAATGTAATCAGATCAGAATGGATTGGATTTCTTTCCTTTATAAAATAGGTTTATGTAAGTACTTTGTATGATTAACCTCCCCAAATAAAAAGACACCTGATCTTACATCACAATCTGCCAGGTGATAAATTCTTCCCTGTCTAGTCATGAAATGCAAATATGGCAATGTGAATAACCCATTTGAGGGGGGCACAATTCACAATGAGAATGTTTTCTTTAAGCTTTGACCTTTTAGTCATGAATCTGGACACTAAATGTCAAGATCAATTTTTACATAGCCATGAATTTGGGGACCATCCTTCTTCATGTCCCCAGTAGGTATACAATATTGGAGGAATATACCTATATTGTTTGGAACACAAATCTGAGAAGGGATGGTTTTCAAGCTCCTATCTAGGAGCAATGCCATATTTCTTACTGGGTCAAGTTTCTACATTTATAACTTCTGATGGGTTTTTTCAGGTGACTAATTTGTTACATAATTAGAAGTCACTAATTTCAAAAGTTAACAATGTCTTTCTCATTTTTTTTCTCCTAAGTAGAATTTCAGGTGCAATATTAGAAAAGTGTTAACATTGGGCATCTGTGTTTTGTGGGTTTTTTTTTTTTTTTGAATGCCTATGTGATTACGTTGTGAACTTATGCTCAGAGAGCTTATAATTTCTTATTTCTACTTTAAGTAAGGAGTAGGTGTTGATTTATAATGTCTTTTCAGCATTTCACATACCTTTTCTTCTATGAAGATAATTTTATATATATCATTTAAGTTGTTGACAGACCTTTATTTATTTATTTACTATTTATATGTGGTGCTAAGAATTGAACCCAGTGCCTCACACATACCAGGCAAGTGCACTACTGCTGAGCCACAGTCCCAGCCCCTATGAAGATAATTTGTTAAGAGCTATTTGTTGGGAATAAAATTCTTGTTTGACATTGACAGTTATCTGTCTTTTAATATTGTGGTTGGCAAACCAAGTGTCAGTCTCACCACTGTTACTACATAGCTAATCAATATTTTTCTTCATGGCTACTCTGACATTTGAGTACTCTAAAGTTTACCATGTTTTGCCTCAGCACAGATTTAAATTTTTCTCATTTGAAATTTACTAGCCTTCTTGAATCTAAAGACTGATTTTTTGCAAGTGATCTGGAAACTTTTCCAGGAATTATCTTTTCTAATATTTCATCTATTCTATTACATCTCAGAACTCCAACTGTCTTCTACATTTGTTAAATTCAATCTCATATTTTCTGCTCATCTCTCTGAATTGTATTCTGTGCAATTTTTTCATACCTTTCTTTCAGTTTACTATATTTTCATCTATGCCTACTCTGCTATTCAATAAGCATATTGAGCTTCGGTGTCATTTATCATATTTTTTCTTTATTTCTAGCAGTTATATTTGGTTGTTTTTCTGATCTGCCTGGCTAACTCTGAAAATTTCTTATTGCTTTGTCAAAATTTTGATACTGTTACTTTTTAAAATACTTGCTTCATATTCTCTGATAATTCCAACATCTGCCCTCTTTGCACATCTGTGGCTTTTCTTTTACTTTTGAACTCATGTTCCTAAGAATTTCACTTGTGGGAATTCTTACCATCCTGGATAAAAATGCATCAGAGAATGTGCACTTTTTCATGCCAGTGACTAGAAAGCTAACTCCCTGGGGCCATTTTAAATTTAAAAAAAAAAAAAAAAAAAACCCAAGACAGTAATTTAAGTACTAAGGGAACCCAAGCCTGGTTGCATGTTGGTCAAGTAGTATATCATGAAGCCACCCCAGCCCCTGAGACAGGTCTCACTGAGTTACCCATGTTGAACTCCAATTTACAATCTTCCTACTCAGACTACAGACTAGCTGGAATTACAGGTATGAACCACCACATCCAGCTATGTACCAGGGACTGAACCCAGGGGCATTGAACCACTGGACCACATCACCAGCCATTTTTGTAATTTGTATTTTGAGACAAGTCTCATCAAGTTGCTTAGGGCCTCACTGAGTTGCTGAGGCTGGGTTTGAATTTGTGATCCTCCTGCCTGAGCCTCTTGAGCCACTGGGATTACAGGTGTGCACTGCGAGGACTGGCTAATTTGACTTTTTCTAATGGTTAGTTGTAAATTGAGGTTTTCTAACTCTCAGTGCATTCCTTTCTCTCCCATCTTTAAAAAAAAAAAAACACTATTCATATTTTTTTAAATGTTAAGGCATATTTTTAGTTACATATCCTCTCATCCCTAGATATTAATATATATTCTCTCAATCAGACTTCCCAGCGATTTCTGATTTGGCCTTGTGATTTATATTCTTTTGGGGTTTTCTAATTTATTCTGCAGAGTTTGAATTTTATCTTAAAAGCTATAAGGAGTCACAAAAGCAACAGCATGATTAAATCCACAGTCTAGAAAAATCATTTCAGCAGCACTTGAGAACAAATGCAAGGACCCTCAGAGGTTAGAGGCAGAAGAGCCAGGAGCTTGATATACAATCCAGGAGGAAGAAAAGCCCAATAGAGAGTGGTGGCACTAAGGACACAGGCTGGCAGAAGTGGGGTGCTGCAAGAGGCAATGAGCACCCAACAACAGTGGACGGCCCCTCCCTGTTCCTTGATCAAAATACTTCTAAGATCAAGCAATGATTTAAAAACAAAAATAAGGCCATACAAATACAAATAAGAAGAAGAATTATTTATGACTATAGAAAAGTTTTAAATTTATTTATGAAAATAATAATACTATAAAGCAAAATCAAAACACGAAAGAAAAGGTTGAGAAAAATTACTTGGAGCACCTGACCTAAATGTGTAAACATTCAAAGAGCTTATGCAAATCAGTAATAAAAAAAGCAACCAAATGAAAAATGAGGAACTTTCTGAATTTCACTCTATGAGACATTCAAAATGAGCAGAGGATGCAGCTCAATGGTAGAGAGCTTGCTTAGCATGCACAAAGTTGTGGGAGGGAAGGGGGGAAAGACAGAGAGAAAGGAGGGATTGGAGGAAGGGAAAGGGAAGAGGATGTTCAAATAAAAATGATGTCATTTTTTACTTATCAATGTGCAAAGATTTAAAAGTGAGATGAAACTCAGCATTAAGAGTGTGGAGAAACACACCCTTTACCTATTATCAGAGTACAAGTTGGCATGATGTTTATGGAGAGAAATTTGGCAATAGCAAAAATTCAACTACCCTGAACCCAGAAAATCCATCACAGTAATTTCTCTTACATGCAGATTCAAAGTATGCAAAGAAAATATATAAAAATATGTTCAAAGCATTTTTTTCCCTTTTTGACAGTTTCAAACAGCATACTATACTTGTCAATGTCAAAGACTAGCTTAATGAATTAGTCAACCAAAGAAATATTAGGTAGCCCTTAAAAATAATCTGGACATTTTAGACTAAAAGATACAAGAAATTCAAAGTATTTTAAATTTTTAAAAAGGCAGTAATAGTACAGCATATAAGGTATAATTTCCTTTATTGTTGTTTTGCTAGTTTTAAACGGCTATGTTTGTGTTTACATAGAAATTTTCTTAAAGGACAGTGAAAGAAATCTCTTAACTTTAATTCTAAAGAATGACAACAGGAAACAAAAGCTTTCCCTTTATTCACCTATTTGTATTTAAGTGAAAAGTGTGTGTGTGTGTGTGATTTTTGTTTGTTTGAAAGAGTCTTGCTGTGTTGTCCAAGCTGGTCTTAAACTCTTGGGCTCAAGTGATTCTCCCAAGTAGCTAGGATTATAGGCATGTGCCACCATGCCTAGTAGTCGTATGCTATTTTCATAATACAGAGGAAATAAAAAGAAATGTTCCCTCTGTAATCTAATGCTCATCCTATCTTTTTATCAATTCCCCATCACGCTTGGCTAAATCTCTTGTTTCCATAAGTGATCCCAGTCCCTACCCACTGGAATATGCCTTGTAACTACCCTCTGGCTTGCCTTCGCTCTGACATGAAGCTACCTAGAATAACTTTTATCCCATTAGAATTCTGCTCATCTCTCCATCTCTGGGTCTCTTCCACCCTACAGGCCACTATCACCATGGATGCTATGAACCTGGAGCTCCAAAGCAAAGCAAATACTTGGGTGTGTGGGGGTGGGAGGTGTGAGTGGGTGTGTGCACATGCACACACACTGGGGACTGAACCCCAGGCCTGTGAGTAAAAGCAGGCATCGCTGTGGCACCCACTGCGACCTCACTGTGCATCCTCCTTGCGGGTACTACTGAGTCCTCCTTCTCTCTAGATGCCACAATGGCTGGTACAGGGCCCAGGCACAGCAGGTGTAATAAGCAGGTTAGCCTTGGCTACCTCAGGGTACTAAAATTCTAAATTCAAGATTTAATTATATTCATTATATTCACTCAATTATTCTAAGGCAAAAAAAAAACACATACTCAATGGCTTTTTGGCAACAAAAGGAATTTCTATTCAAACCAAATTTACTCTAAAGTTCCACTAGAGTTGAACCAGATCAACTCACTTCTGGCATTTTCTTGTTACTTAAGGTTTCACTCTCTGATATTTGACTTTACTGGCACTGAAAGGTCATTCATTTAAAGGCAAGCATATAACACACTTCACATACGAGATTAAAATGAGCAGTGAAGTTCTGCTGAGACATGAGGCTTTATTACTCTTCAGTCACTAAATATTTTTACTTCTAACAAGAAATAAGCAATTGGATAAAATTTTAGTCTCCTTTTCTGTTTAACAGACCCTTTATTCAAAGTTTTTACAAAATATCTGAAAGTAATATACACTTGGGTCTTTGGTGTTTCATTTTATTCTTAGGCTTTAATCCTCTTACTGTAAGGACAAATCCCCATGCTAATAATCAAGTCCTTTGTATTGTTTCATGAAAGCTTAGTTGAGATTGTTTCCTTTCACTAGAAAAGGAAATAACCAAGACTGTTGTTGCCTCCTACCCCTAAGTCACCATTCATTCCGTGATATTACTGATCACTCTAGAATTCCTTTCCCATAAAGTATTACTCATGGCCAATCTGGGATGGTCTTCTAGAGAAAGCTGTTCACATTAAGACCAAGGCCTATGGGGCTGAAGGTGTGGCTCAGTGGTACAGCATTTGCCTAGAAGGCATGAAGCTCTGGGTTTAATCCCTCTCACTACAACAAACAAACAACAAAAAAAAAAACCCACAAGGTCTAAGCTTAATATGGTCTGCCAAACTTTTTTATATGAAAGTCATCCACTACACTCTTCACATATGGACAGTCTGTTATGGTCTCAGCAGTGCCAGAAATTTTATGGGAAAGGTATGGCTTGGGAGTCTTACTGGAAGGAAGGACACCAGACCACTGGGCCTGTAGCCACATTTGCACAGTAAGCATGCTGACCTTACTTAGACCATACATTATGAAACTGTAAAAATAGTATAGAAACTGTTATTCACAGTTGACATGAAATTGATTTTATTTATTATCATTTGGGAGTAAATTACCGGGGAGTCACTAATAAAAATTACAGTTAGATTAAACACCCTCTATCAGTACCTCCTCAGCCACCCCTTGGCTCTACAACCAGGGACAGATCACTGCAAGATGCCAGGATGTTTCTGGATTTGTGATAGGCACCTTCCTGTAGTGAAGCTCAGCCAGGATGTACCATCATTCTTCCAAGATACCAAGCAGCCCTGGCTAGTGTAAAGGCTGCCAAGCGGGCACAAGGTCATAAACTAGGAAAGTTAAATTTCTCTTCAAACAACTTTCTCCTAAATTTCTAATGGAAATTAATGAGAAAATGGAGGTGAAAACAAGGAACAGTTGTGAAGGGCAGCCATCAGCCTGCTGGGGTGGGTTACACAGATTCTAACACAGTTGAAGATGGGGGGCACCCCTACAGGAGAGTGGCACATCCCAGTGTCTTCACAGAGAAGCAGCAGGAACCCACCAAAGCCACAGAAAGGTCAGTTAGTCATAGAGATTCACTTGCTCCAATTGTGACAGGGTGGCTATAATCTGAATCAGAATTTTTGGACTGTACTTTAAAGGTAATGACTGTCTGTTCATTACCTGTCCCTCCGTTTTGTTCTTAACTCTCTCAGCAAACACACACACACACACACACACACACACACACCTTTCCCAGTATTTCCCAGATCACCCAGGATTCACTGGCTCCAATCAACAAAATGAAATATCAATAAAGAATATTCAGGGGCATAAACAATATCGGTGGCTGGGGCAGGCCATGGGGTAGAGGAAGACATGGGCATTGGTTCTGAACAGGGCCTGCTGCTCTGGTTGCCTTTCCAAGTATAAACTTCAAGTAGCAATGTGACTTGCAAGTGAGATCCAGTCTAGTGGGGAGAGAATGCTTGGTGAGACTGATTCTCAGCAGACAGAGGCAGGTTTTATCTATCTGTTTTCTTGTTTTCCACACACTCACCGGGCAAGTTTGCTGAGGCCAAGGACTTGCTTGTTAGGAAGATAACCGATATGGACCTTGAGGGGAGAGACAAATCGTGAGCTAAGTGAACACATAGCACCGCTTTCTGACAAAATACAGACATACAAAATATAGTATAATGGCCTGCAAAGTCATCACAATGACAGTGCAACTTTAAAACATTAGAAGATTTAAGACTTTTTAAAAAGTATAGCTGTGATATTCCCTGGTAATTTTTTATTCAACTCTGAATTTTTTTTTCCCAGGAAAAGGTAAATGACCCTGTAGCAACAACACAATGTAACCAAGAAAGACTCCTCTATATAAAAATGTTGCCATTCCCCAGGGCACTGCAGCCTTAAGAATCCCACCACAGAGCCAGGTAATCTCAGCAATTTGAGAGGCTGAGGCAGGAAGAACAAGTTTGAGGCCAGCTTAAGAAACTTAGTGAGACCTTGTCTCAAAATTAAAAAATAAAAAGGGCTAGGAATATGGCTGGGGTTGTGGCTCATACTAGCCAAATATAAATCAATTAGACAAATATAAACATTACAGACACATCTGCATCATGATGCCAACATAAAACAGTTTTCATTTGTTCACCTAATATTTATTATACACTTCTACAACTGATCTAGTAGTAGTAGTTAGTGGGTTTTGTTTGGTATGGAGGAAGAGAAAGTCAAAGAGCACCTGAACGCTGGGTGCTACAAAGCAAAAGAACTGTCCCATAGGGGCTGGGTGTGGTGGTGTATACCTAAACTCCCCGCAGCTCGGGAGGCTGAGGCAGGAGAGTTGCAAGTTCAAAGCCAGCCTCAGGGGCTGGGGCTGGGGCTGAGTGGTAGAGCACTTGCTGAATTTGTGTGAGGCACTGGGTCTAACCCTCAGCACCATATAAAAATAAATAAAATAAAAGTCCATCAGCAACTTAAAAAATAAATAAATAAAATCAGACTCAACAACTTAGTCCTTAAGCAACTTAGCAAGGCTCTGTCTCAAAATAAAAAATATAAAACCAGCTGGGGATGTGGCTCAGTGGTTAAGCATCTCTGGGTTCAGTCCCTAGTACCCACCCCTCAAAAACTAAAAATTGTCCCATCCAACCAATGTCTCGGTACTGCTTGAATTTGTATGCTTATCTGCAGTGCTAGAGTACACTTCTAGTTTGTGTGATTTTTGGTCTTCCTTCAGATTCTAAATCATTTAAATGTCCACTTTGGAAAATCATCACTAAATCATATAGCTAAAAAAGTTAGCAAGCACACAAATAGAAGGGAACAGCCACAGTGGTGAGAAGCTAAGTACAGGATTGAGCTCCTTGACCCTGGCCCCACAAGGCCATTAACTCTCTAAATCCTCCTGAACATGAGTTTAATTATCTCACCTACAATAAAAGACAGAAATGAATTCAAAGGTTCCCTCATTGTTAACTGTAGATCATAAGTTACTATGTGCCTCCTGACATGATAGAATATGAAGTTCTCAGCATTCCTGGGAATTACTTCTGTTTGAAATGTTCAGTCTTAATATTATTAAACTTTAGATCTGGTTTATAGGAAATCCAGAAGTTGAGTGGAACACAGAAGGTGAGTCACTACAGAAGACCCAATCTGGTCTCTTCAATGGGAGAATTGGGGAGGGCGTATTTTGGAATAAAAGACTTAATAAGATATAACCAAATGCAATGTAAATATAAATGTGACTCTTAACTGTATTCTTATTTAAATAAGCCAAAAACAAAGCCTGTGAGTCAACTGGAGAAATTTATTTGGGTTAGCTATTAGATGCTACTTAGGAGTTACTGTTGATTTTGTTTGTGGTCGTGCTACTATAGATAAGAGATACATATTAACTGCTAGTGTGGGTTAACTGCTAGTGTGGGTAAGTATTTTAGAAATGACAGTTAATAATTAGTGATGAAAAGTCATGTTGTCTATAACAGACTTTGTATTCTTCAATATTTATGAATTTATTGCTATCTTCTTACATGTGGTAATCAAATTGGGTTTTCTTTAAAAAAAAAAAATCCTTGTCTTTTATAGAGACACACTGGAAGAAATCATGGGAGGAATAATGAATATCTGGGATTTGTTCCAATATAGTGCAGTGGGGACCTTTATTTAATATGATTGTCCTGTGTTGATATCTGTTGAAACTGGTTGATGAGAACATGGAACTTATTCTACTAGTCTTTCTCATTATGTATGTTTGAAATTTTCCATGATAATTTTTTTTTTAATTTAATTTTTTTAGAAGAGCAAGAGACTGATACCATTACATACAATCCTGAAAGTACCAAGTGTTGGCAAGAATATGAAACAATGAGAACTCCCATAGATTTCTGAGAGTGTAAATTGGCATAACCACTTTGGAGAGCTATAGGTCAGCACTGGGTAAGCTGGACATGGGTATACCCTGTGAAACTGATTCCACCTCTAGATACATTCCTAGCAGAAATGCATGAATATATGCAACAAGAGAAATCTGATAGCAATATTGTTTGAGCAAGAAAAGAAAAAAAGAGGAGACATGCAAATAACTACCCAGAGAAGAACAGAATAGATAAATTGCGGTGTGTTCATACAATGCAATAATATATAATAATGGAAATAAACTACAATCACAGGTAAAGACATCAATGAATCTTACAATGTAGAACAAAGGAAACCAGACTCAAAAGAGGACATATTACAGATTCTTTTCACTTATATATTACTGAAAAATAAGCAAAATTAATCTATAGTATTGGAAATTGATATGCTAGTTACGTGTGGAGATCAGGGATGGGGTAAGGCTTAAGAAGGAACAGGAGGTAAGCTTTCAGGATGCTAATCCTGAAATCATGTTCTAGCTCTTAATCTGTGAGATGGTAAAAAAAAAATACCTTTGTGATTAATGCATTTTTCTAAGTTTTACTTCTATTTATAAAAGTGAAAAAAATAAAATACTTAAATAAGAAAAAAGAAGCAAATGTTAAATCTTATTAAATTTCAGTAATGGCTATTTAGGTATTCATAACACTATTTCCTATGAGCCTTCTGTTTGAAAAGCATTAATGAAAAGCCAAAATTAAATAATTATTGGGTAGGATGAACAGGACAACTCTAAAGCCACATGTTCTCAAAGTATTTATTATATGTACAAATGTATTTTTTTGTGGTACTGGGGATTAAATCCAGAAATGCCCTACCACTGAGCTACATCTCCAGTTCTTATTTCTTTCTTTTTAAAAATATTTTTAAATTATTGATAGACCTTTATTTATTTATATTTGGTGCTGAGAATTGAACCCAATGCCTCACACATACTAGGTAAGTGTGCAACCGCTGAGCCACAGCCACAGCCACTCCAGTTCTTATTTCTTTCTTTTTTTTTTTAAAGATAGAGTGAGAGAGGGAGGGAGAGAGAGAGAGAGAATTTAATATTTTTTTATTTTTTATTTCTCGGCGGGCACCACATCTTTGTTTGTATGTGGTGCTGAGGATCGAAACCGGGCCGAACGCATGCCAGGCGGACAAGGTTTCACTAAGTCATCCAGGATTGTCTCAAATTATAGTTCTCTTTTTTTGTTCGTTTGTTCTTTTTAGATATACCTGACAGTAGAGTGTATATTTTGACATATTATATATACATGGAATAGAACTTATTCTAATTAGGATCCTATTCTTATGGTTATACATAATGTGCAATTGCAGTGGTCACATATTCATGTATAAGAATAGTAAAGTTATATCTGATTCATTCTACTGTCTTTCCTATTCCCATCCCTATTCCCTTGCTATGATTTAGATGTGGTATCCCTCAAAAGCTCACATGTGAGATAATGTAAGAAGGTTTGGAGAGGAAATGATTGGGTTATAGCCTTAATCTAATCCGTGGATCACTTACTGGTGGGATTAACTAGGTAATAACTGGAGGCAGTGGTGCATTGGGGATAGGGACATGGGGTATATATTTTGTATCTGGAGAGTGGAATCAGTCTCCCTCCCTCCCCCCCTCCCCCCCTCCCCCTCTCCCTCCCTCTTTATCATCATGTGAGCTGCTTCTGCCACACTCTTCATGATGTTCTGCCACACCTCTAGACCCAAGGAATGGAGCCTGCTATCTGCAGACTGAGACCCATGAAACCGAAAGCCCTTAAATAAAAGTTTTCCTCCTCTACAATTGTTCTGGTTGGATCCTTTTATGTGGGAGGCCAACCTTACACATGACTGAGTTACACTCCCTGGCTGGGTGCTGAGATGTTCAGTCGCAGAAATGTGGCACCCTTCTTGGGTTCAAGGGTCGGTGTCTCGTGCATGGGTGTGTATTGCTACAGCCCCATGGGTGAAGCTATGCTCACCTGTTCCTTCGTAACCTAACCCCTTGCCCTGTTTAGGATAGAATCTTCCATGGAAGTGCCTTGTGTGTGTCCCCTTCTCTTACTGTGCCCTTGGGTGTGGCCTACCCAGATGTCAGTCAACCTGCTGACAGTGGACTTCATGAAGATACTCAGCCCCCTGAAACCTGACCCCTTGCCTCATTTGAATAGCTTCTCCTCAATAAAAGGGGTCAGCGTGTGCTCTCACTCTCTCTCTCTTTCTGCGGACCCTTAAGGTCAGAGGAGCCGTCACAGCGACCCCAAAGGAAAAGGTATTTGTGTCTCTTGTGTGGTTATTTCTTACAGCCCAGTTCAACTGGAGTGACCCCTGAGCCTTTTAGTCGCGAGAACAGAAACCCGGCACTTTTAGGCACAGCAGCGAAAAAGCTGACTAAAACATCCCTTCTTCATTCCCCTTTGTCTAATCCAATGACCTGCTATCCCCCCCTCCGGCCCCTCACTGTGTGTTAGCATCCATATATCAGAAAGAAAGTTTGGCCATTGGTTTTTTGGGATTGGCTTATTTCACTTAGCATGATAGTTTCCAGTTCCATCTGACAAATGCCATAATTCCATTCTTTTTTATGACTATTATTCCATTGTGTATATGTACCACATTGTCTTTAACCATTCATCTGTTGAAGGGCACCTAGGTTGGTTCCATAGTTTAGCTATTGTGAATTGAGCTGCTATAAACATTGATGTGGCTACATCACTGTAGTATGCTGATTTTAAGTTCTTTGGGTATATACTGAGGAGTGGGATAACTGGGTCAAATGGCAGTTCCATTCCAAGTTTTCTAAGGAATCGCCATACTGCTTTCCCAGAGTGGTTGTACCAATTTGCAGTCCCACCAGCAATGTATGAGTGGGCCTTTTCCTCCACATCCTCTCAAATGTTTATTGTTACTTGTATTCTTGATAATGGCCATTGTGACTGAAGTGAGATGGACTCTCAGTGTAGTTTCAGTTTGAATTTCTGTAATTGCTAGAGATGTTAACCATTTTTTCATATATTTGTTGACCATTCATATTTCTTCTTCTTTGAAATGCAGGTTCAGTTCCTTGCCCACTTATTGACTGGGTTATTTGTTTTGTTTTTGTTTGATGTTAAGTTTTTTGAGTCGAACTTGCAATTCTTCTGCCTTAGCCTCACATCAAATTTATTTTTAACTGCAACAAACTAGGTGATATATCATCTAGCTGACATTTAGATTTATTTTTTTTTTTATAGAAAGGGTTGGAATAAATTAAAGCCACTAATACCATAACTTCTGTCCCTGGAAATTTTGTAATCACTACTGCTCATATCATGCCATATATCAGGCATATCTTGGATCAAAGAATATTCAGTCAACATAAATGGCAAAGGTTTTCAGAGCCTGCAGCATCTACCAAGAAAAAAAAATGCTGCTGCTTTAACCTCATTCTCTTCACCTATTAACATGGTATTTAATATAAAATTTGGCCGGAGGGCCAGCTGCTACTTTGTTTTTAATTTCAGGTTATTATATCAATCAGCTTGATAAAGAGTAAACATTTATGTGTAACTATAAATATCTAGGATATGAAGAATTAGCAACTGACAATTTTAAATATAATATCATAATTTTAAAACTTTCATTAGGCTTTTTAAAATGTCAGGAAATAAGGAAAACCTTACCTTTCCCACAAATGGAACTAGATGATGTTCACACATGGAAAACATATCTATGTCCTTCACAATCACCATCTCATCATGATCTTCATCAAATATAGCATCGTTCAGGACATCTGAAATCAGAAACTTGCCTTAGTAATGCTTACAATTCCACAGAAAAGCACAAAATAGAAAAGCCACCATGATCAATACAAAAAGACAGTAAATATAAATTAAGCCCCAAGTATTCAATTCTGTGAATATTTCAATGAAACTGACATGGGTACATTAAAAATAGGTTAGAAATGTAACCCAGAACATGTTATGTTAATTAATATTATTATTATAATTATTATGTTATCATAATATTATATAAATATAGTATATATGTTATAATCTATATTTAAGCTTTTATAGGTGATCCTCACCTGCAATGTGGATCAAAATGGGCTAAAAAGTATGTTATCCTCACTAAAACATTAAGGACATGCAAATTAAAACCAGTTAATTGTATCAAATTACCAAAGTCTTTCTCTGTAAATGATATTTAAAAATCGTTAATACAATGTTACATAAGAACTGCAGAATTGCAAATTTATCTGTAGTATGAGAAAAAAAGGAGGGAGGGAGAAATGAGGAAAGGAGGGAGAGAGAAATTATGCCAAATAAAATCAAAGTGGCTATTTTCTTGTGTAGAAATGGGTCACTTTCACTCTTTTTTTTTTACCTTTTTTATACTTAATATTTCCTCTATAATGGATAGGTAGAAAATCATGAGGTAAAGACGAATCTTTAGCCTTCTGACTTCTAAGGCCAGAACCATACGCTTGTAAACCTGACTGCTATTACCAATTCCTGAAATAATTTTCTATATTTCTAAAGTCTTCCAGTTACTGTAGATGAGTATAAGACTAATTCTAATGGTCACCTTTCTTAGGAAATAGATCTTACGGTTTGTGCGCCTGTGCCTCTCTGGGGAGGCTTTAGGGATGAGTGATAAACTGTGAACCTGGCACAGGTGGCCAAGCATACTGCAGACATTTAAAAACCGTTTTTATTTTTAAATACTGCACCAAGTGAGCCTCACTATCTCATCTGCAAAACAGAAGGTTACCTAGGGGATGCTCAAGGGACCTTTGAGCTCTCCACCATTCTGTGACAGTAAGAACATCCTGTCCTGGATGCTGAAGAGGGACAAAGGGATACAAGCCACCATCCTCACCACTGCAGTACCACCCTGGTTTTGATAATGGTATAGGTACCTGATTGATGGTGTAGGCGAATGCCTGTAATATGGAAAATTCCTTGGCTCTATCATCAACTGAGAAAAGAAGCTAAAAGAAGGACCGTTATCGTCTCACTTTTATAAAGTAAACATATACTTTATGAAAACGGCACTGACATCTAGGCACTGATGCCTAGTTGTACGGTTTCAAGGCTTTGGGGGATACCCACGCTACATAGTACAATTAGACAGAAGGGAGGAGGTGAATACAGCCTACAGCCACCTACAGCCACCACTTTCCCTCAGGCAGGCTGCCAAGTGAGTCACAGGGAAGATGGGCAAACGTCCACCCACACTCCTGACCTTCAATGGTTCAGCTGCTCCTAGAATAGGGGCTCACAGATACTGAGTCATCATGTAAACCAGTTACCATCCCCTGAGTCAGGCTATTCAGAATTGCACTAGAGTGTGTGGCAGGGAAAGTCATTAGCGTGGTCCATGAAAGTGAATGTGTGGGCTTTAAACACCCACAGACACTCCTGTTCGAAGTGGCTAATACACTCCAGGGAGGAAAAAGCTCAAAGTCCTTCGTTAAATAAATATTCCTTCTCCAAAAGCAGTTTTTCTATACTGAATATTCTGTCCTAATCTTTAGTCATATTTCTGAAAGGAGTCCAAAAATAGCCCCTTAGTGTTCCGAGAAGCATCTTGGATTTCTCCAAGAGTTTAACATAATGTTATTGCCATGTATAACTTCCTAAAATCTTTAGTCACAAAAGAAATATCCCTGAAAGTAAAAACAAATAAAAAATTATTTCTTGAAGAGAATCATCATCTAATGTCAGACACATTCATTTTCTCTGGCAAAGAAATTCCCCATTGTAAGCTCTGATGACAACCATATGGTGTATATTAAAGCCAGCCTTCCAGCTAGGCTAAGTGAAGATCTTCACTTGCTAGCTGTTGGACCTTGGGCAAGGCATTTGATGCCTTACTCTTCTTGGCAGTAAAACAGGCATGAATAAGAGCAGATCTTTCAGAGGTATCGTCAGGATTAAATGTGTTCACAGCTAAGTAAGAGATGTGGTAGTTACTACTCTTTTAATGAAGACTGGCAGCTAGACATGGTGGTGCACACCATGTAATCCCAGCTGCTCGAGAGCTGAGGTAGGAGAATCAAAAGTTCAAAGCAGCTTCAGCAATAGTGAGGAGGCCCTGAGCAATTTAGCAAGACCCTGTCTCTAAATAAAATACAAAATGGGCCGGGGATGTGGCTCAATAATTAAGTGGCCCTGAGTTCAATCCCCGATAATAAAAGACAGACAGAACTGCTAAGCTATGTGTGGGACACATGGATGTACACTGATAAATATCAGAAGTTAAAAAGCAGTAAGTTGCTTATAACAGAATACAGGAAATGAACAGTAGTAACTTTACAGTGGAAAAGTCTGGACAATGCTACCTGAACTAAGTGATCAAGGTTAACTTTGCCAGCAATAAGACATAATAAGTTGGATGCAGTGGCACACACCTGTAATCCCAGCAGCTAGGGAGGCCGAGACAGGAGAATCTCGAGTTCAAAGCCAGCCTCAGCAATAGTGAGGTGCTAAGCAACTCAGTGAGACCCTGTCTCTAAATAAAATACAAAATAGGGCTGGGGATGTGGCTCAGTGGTCAAGTGCCCCTGAGTTCAATCCCTGGTACCCTCCCCCCACCAAAAAAAAAGACATAATGGTATTGTATAACTCCAGATTTGATATAATGAGAAGGGCACATGGCCTCTGTGGTAGTCTTCCTCAAAATTTAAAACTGTAGTACAATCAATCATCAGAGCTACCCAGGAGGCTGAGGCAAGAGGATCATAGGTCCCAGGCCAATCTGGGCAACTTAGTAAGACCCTGTCTCAAAAAATAAAAAGAGCTGTGGATACAACTCAGTGGTAGAGCATCCCCTGGATTCAATCCCCAGTTTATAGGGAAAAAAAAAAAAAAGCAGAGGTCACGAAAGAAAAGGAAAAACTGAGAAACTATCAATTGAAGAAGAGTAGAGAAATAACTATATGCAATGGAAATAAATTCAAGTAAAATCTGTAGTTTAGTGAATAGTATTGTACTCATATTAATTTCTCAAGTGTCAATAATTGTACTCATGCCAGATGTTTCTTGGGGAAGCTGGGGGATGAGCATATGAAAACTCTATGCTATCTTCATAATTACTAAGTAATAAAAAAGGAAAAGGACAATGTCCATCAACTGAAATGTATAAAAAATGGAGTACTACTCAGAGCAGTACAGAATGAACCAATGAACATATAATAACATGTTTGAACCTCCAAAGTATCAACTAAGTGAAATAAGCCATATATGTTTATAGATACATGTGTACACACATGCACACAGAAAAGATGACCGTCATGCACGTAGTATAATCAACAAGGATAGATCACATATACAATGGAGGTCCCATGAAATTCTACCTCCTAGTAATGTAGTCATCTTAGTTTGTGTAAGTACAATCTGTGATGTTTGCACAATGTCAAAATCACCTAGCACAACACATGAAACTAAGAAAGGCCACAGTGCAGTGATAAAAAGCAAACAGGTGGCTCACCATGGGCCAGAGAAATGAGAGAGAGGATCTGGCTGCAATAAGGTAGGAAGAAAGTTGTTTTTTGGGTGACAGAACTGTCAAAATTCACTTTGTACATGCAGAGCTGGTGAATATTTCTGAATGTTAATAAAGCCAATTTTAGAATAATTTTTCAATTATAATACAGTACCTAACATATTGGGTGAAGTAAAGTGGAAAAAAGAGAATAAACATATACACAAGTGTTTATCTGCAAAAAGAAACAATGGGCCAGGCACAGTGGTGCACACCTGTAATCCCAGACACTAGGGAGGCTGAAGCAGGAGGAACCCAAGTTTGAGGACAGCCTCAGCAACTTATAGAGATCCTGTCTCAAAAAATAAAGTTTTGGGGATGTAGATAGAGTACCCCTGGGTTCAAACCCCAGCACCCCTCCACACACATACACACACACGCACACACACACACACAAAAAAATACCACAAGGATAAATGAAAAAGCTACTAAAAATTAAGAACTACGAGAAAGGAGAGAAGAGATGTGGGTGGAAATGAGACATCTCCGAATATAATTTGCTGTTTGTCTTTGAACTCCTTTAAATGTTTACATACTCAAGTACATTACACCAATAACATAGCTCATATGGCTTAATTCTTTGTGTGGTAATGAAATACTAATATGTTGCCTATATCCCATTTCATTAAAATGAATGTAGACTATAAACTTGACCTAGCCAAATCATTTTTCTTCAATAATGAAGTTTCCCAGCTATATTTACTTGTGTTTTGCTCCAACATATCTGAAAGCTACCATCTGTGGATAATAAGAACAAAACACTATCACAGATTGTTTTAATTTCCTGCCTGATATCAGCAGCAAGAAGGTAACCCTGGAAACGAGGATTTACGGCATTCTATTTCCTACTGTTGGTCATAACCACAAAGGAGACCAAAGCAGCCTCCAAAATTTACAGGTTTGTCTATAAGGCCACCACACAACCTCGGTCTAAAGGTACACCTTTCTCATGCCAGTAACAATGAAGCAATGGCAGCAAATAGCACTGCTGAGCAACTATCCCTCGGGGAGTTAATCTGCTTGGGGGGCCCCTTCCTGAAAGAAGGTCTAAGCACCTCTGAAGCATGGTTTCTTAGACTCTTCCAGTGGGTGTGTTAAAACAAACTGCTGGCCTCACACCCAGAGTCTCTGTTTCAGCAGGGCTGGTGGGCCTGGGAATCTGCATTTCTAAAAGGTTCCCAGAAGATCCTAGTATTGCTGATCTGGGAACCACATTCTGAGAGCCCCCATTTAAAGCATTTTAAG